ACAATATGCCTGGTAAGATTTCATAATCAATTAGTTTTTTTCAACAGATATGCATTATTTTTTATTTCTGCCATTATTATTTCTACCAGTTATCACTATTATATTTTAAGAGGTTTTCCAATCTATTTAAAGTATTATCAAATTAAATAGAAAATGTAAATTAAAGCTGAAAAAATTCAAATTTATTATTTTATAAAATAGTTTTTCCTGTTTTGATCTAATGTTAAGCTGAATGCTGTGGAATAAAAAACACAGTATAAAGTATATGAGGTTTAAATGTGCCAATTTATGCAAATAATTAGTTACTTTACCTGTAAACACTGTTGTTTAGCTAAAACCTGTTATAAGCTTTTCTTGATTAAACATGTTACATGACGTTATACTGTACACATCAGTGTAAGATGCACTTATTGAGGCTGCAATTTCCTAATACATTCACATCAACATAGAGCCAGGAATTTGTGAACAAACACTTCAGCTTGTTCTGCTAAGCCCCGTTCACATTAGCAGCGACTCATGTCACCAGGGTCTGGCGATGAGGTTGCTAGTGGGCGTTCTCAATACTGGTTGCCTTGACAGCGAATCAGGTTTCTTGCCGCTAAGTACAAACATTTTGGAGTCAAAAGACTAAATATAATCTAAATCTAAATTAAATCCATACATACAAACAAAAATGAATGAGAAACAGAGCCTACTTTCTTCCATTGCGTATGTTTATCTACGGCGCTGAGAGGAGAACGATCACATGAGCTCTACTGTCTTCTTTCCTATTGGCTGTCACTCCCGAAAGTCGCTCTTCATTTGCATAAAGTTGAAGGATTCTGAACTTTGTCGCGTCGCTGGACACGCCCCATCCGGTCGCCAATGGCCGCTGTCGCTCGTGTCGCCGGAAATCGCCAGCTCCACATTGAAATGAATGGGATTGTGTCGCTTTGCTGTTGCATGTCGCTTGTAGTGTGAACGGGGCTTTAGACTTGATCTCCAATAAAAGATATTTAAAGTGATGTCTAAAGAACATGTCTGTAATCTTAATGGGAAATACTGATTATAATGAGTTCGTTGTATTTTGTCGCGACGATGCCATTCTTCTTACTCGGTGTATGTGGCAAGTGAACTTTCATGTACTGTAATGCAACGGGCTACCGCTAGCAAGCGGCTAACCATTAAGTGGCTCCATATAATGCCGTTTCACTTTTTGTTTCACTCTTCGGGGAAAAAAATATATTTTCTAGTCTATATTTCCATCTTGTAATGCCGCTGGTTTAGGTTTTTTTTTTTTTTAAATATAAATTATTTATAATAAAGCAGACACTGTCTGACCATGTCTACTGTACACTGGGCGCGACAGTTGTCGTGCCGCGTCACGCTGCACTAAAAGTCTGTCTACATTTGACGCGACAAAGCGACAACTTTGCAAATCATCTGAACGTAGTGTCAGTACAGTTCGTCATAAATAGAACGAGGCACCAGTTTACTGATGGGGATCGTGTCGCATCTCATCGCGCCGCATCCAGTGTAGACAACATCACTGGGTTCTATTGTCTTTGTCGGATCGCGCCACTCGCGTCCGGTGTAGACATGGTGTGAGTTTTTTTAGTGGGTTATGTTACAGCCCTGCTTGTTTTTAATGTTTTTATGAAATATCTGTATTGACTGCATGATCATAACATCGTATTATTTTGCCGTGCAATAAGTAACACTGTTCTAGATCATTAAACATGATGCTCTGGTGTCTAAACCTAGTTTCCTTATTAGGTGATTTACAAAAGAAATCCACCCATTTAGTCATCAAGGCAGCAGCCTTAAGTTTCGGACACAGCCGTTGTGTTACTATGAAAAACAATAGATACATATCTTGAGTTTCTTTCTCACACCTGCACTATTTTTAAAAACATAAAATGCTTCTGTGAAGCTTTGAGATTGAAGTAGTGACGTACAAAATATTTCCAGGAGAAAAAGGCTTCTGACTCACTCGCTACTGCCAGACAGACAGTTATTCAGACAAATGACGAGAGCTGAGTGGAGCTTTGCTTTGGTGAGACATCTTCAGAGGAAAGACTGGAGAAGCTTTAATACAAGAGCAGCCTCAAGAATAATTCTCCTCCAAAAATGCCAACATGCTCTCTGAACTCACTGCCAAACCTCTAGCTGCCCAGTGGAGGAAATCAATATACCACTACAGCAAATGAATGCCATTGATACAACATCTTAGTCACTGTCTATCCATCAAGTAGGTTTGGTCATCTATTTATATTTATGAATATATACACACCAACACCACCATTTATATGTATTTAAAGTGTGTTACTGACCCAGATTTACAATTTGACTGAAGTTCAAAATTGTCTTATTAATTTATGCCATAAATAATTATCATATACAATATAAGTAGACTTATGCCCACCAAGACTGCATTCATTAAAGCAAAAACACAGTTAACTAGTAATATTGTGAAATATTGAAATTTAAAACAACTGTTTTCTAAGTTTAAAATGTATGATGGCAAAGCTGAATTTTTGAGCAGCCATTACTCCAGACTTCAGTCTTCGGATCATCACTAAAAACATGATGGCACATCAGGATTTTGTATGTGTCATCACATGGCGGTTTGGAGCAAAATATGTAGATAATCTAAATAAACTTGCAATGGCACATTTATTGCTAAATATGCTCAAGTCGCAACAATTGTTTTCTCTAGTTCACAGTAATTTGGCCGGATTCACTCAAGTCATTTACATCAGCAACAGCAATGCATCTGCAGTTTTTTATTAAGGCTACTGGCCAACTGGCAGGTAATTTACTTTCCAAATCTTTCAGAATAATACAGATCTGAATCAATTTATGAAATTTAAATGACTTTTTTTTTTTTCCCTATAAACTGATTATTTTGGGGTAAAAGTACTGATCGTTTACGATTATTTTAATGGAAACTATAATGGTATTGCAACTTAGGGCTGTGCGATATGGAAAAAAAAATATTTTTTTGATCAATTTTGCGATTTGTGTGAACGCTCTGATCCATTAACATGGGCATGGAAAAAATACGCACCACAGACGGAGTGTGTGAACCTGGCGTTACGTTTGTATGTCCGCCCGGTCTGTTCTGTTCTCTTGCTCCATTTAGGCGCGCTGCATTCTGATTGGTTCAGATAGCATACTGCGGGAGGTCGGGGGCGTGGAAAATCGTGCTATAAAGCAATTTAGAAATCGCGCACGCTCAAATCGCGATTTTATGACGATTTCGATTAACCAGCCCTAATTGCAACCACACCACCATTTGAGCAGGATTTTAAAGGACTCCATTTTTTTATTTCTGTGCAGCCAGTTTAATGTATAAAACTACCGCAAATATACACAGGTAAAATACAAAGGTTCAGTAGCAATGAACATAAATACAGATTACTGTAAGAAGAATCTTTACACATGAAACACTGATGCTTATCCGAACTTTCCTTTTCAAAATAAATAGGTCTCAAAAAACACAAACAACTGTCCATCTGATAATCACTGACAGCAAACGGTGATGTCTACCTGAGAGCAGACAGCCTGTTCTTGCCTCTGAAGGAGACGACCTGTCTTTCCTGCTCACTATCACAGAACATCACCTTACAAAACCAGCTATACCCTGCTCAGATTCTGACACTGAACTGAGAGAGCTTCAGCCCTGCTGCACACCTCTTATGTATTCACGCAGTTTGCACGATGGATATAATCAAAAAAGAGTGAGTGTGAAAACAAAGAAGTGTCGCCACATGCATCAAGGCACAACTCTGCACACAGATGACAACACATTAGCTTACCCAGCATGCTTCTGTGTTTTGTTCTTTGAAATGTGTGCGCCTGGTCGTGTAATACAGGTAACAACTCAAGAGGTGGAAAACCACAACAAGAGAGTCTCACATCGAGGCCAGCTGTGCTCTTAAGAGCAGCATTAGCAGAGCACAGCGAGATACCTGGAGCAACATACTGACCGCATATCTAAAGTGCTTCCTGTCACAAGCTGTGTGCTCACAGGTGTGCGCAACAAACGCACATCAGTCAGTCCTCCGGCTTCTGAGTGACTAATGCATCGTCAAAACACATACCACACAGTGACCAGCACATTTCAAAATGTGTCTGCTTAGAAAAATGTTCACATAGACTGAGTTTACCTGAAAGATAGACAAGTAAATTTGTGCTGCAAGGTCATAAGGTCACCTATCAGTTTTCTTATCAACTCGACTAATTTGTGGGAAACATATTAGCAACACATAAAAGACCAGACAGAATGACTTGAAATAAAAATGCATCGTCTTGAAATAAAAATGCATCACACTTATGATAATGTTACCCATCATGCTCTTTAAGATTCAGCATTCAATTTGTTAGTGTTCTATTATATGGGGATATTTATTCTGATTTTCTACTCACCCATTTCAACAGGTGACTAACTTGAATTATATAAACAGCACCGGTACTATGGTACAGTAATTGCAAATCCATGGTACACTGCTGTGTATTGGAATACTAAATTATTAATACAATAAAATACTTGTAAAATGGTACTTACATGGTACTACAAAGTATTTCAAAGAATACTATGGGGTACCAAAACCCTGGTAGTACCATAGTACATTTCTGAAAATATTTGAGCTTTTAAAGACAACACCTTTATAAAAAAAAAAAAGTACTATGACAGCAGTACCATGGTGAAGCATGTTAATACTATGGTATTTTGATATATGATAGTGAATGACAACTATTCATATACCAAAAGGTTTTACTTAGTATCCCGACAATACCGTGGTATTACTATGGTACATGTCCAAACATCAGGGTCTTACCATGGCACTTTGTAAGTGAATTGTATAGCATATATTTTGTTGAAGGGTGGCAGATTTATCTCAACCGTACAGTGTTTTGGTTACGTATATATATGTATAAACAGAGTCATAAACCTAAGACAGATCACTATCATTATCATAAACACAACCATGTAAATATTATAGGTCATAATTTACCTCTCAGCAAGCGTGGACTGTGTGCCGCTCATTGGGCTTTCCTTTCTTGATTTTCTTCAGCTCTTATCCAATTAGCATTTTACCATGGTAAAACACCTTTGTGTTTGAAAAAATAAATAAAAGAAACACAAAACAACAACAGCCGGGTGGCACTTTTCAATTTTGACAGTTCCGTCTTGATGTGAATGGTAAAGTCTCCTCTTGAACAGAACAGAAACAAACAAGCTTATGTTTGATATTTCCACGGTTTGTCTGCGTTTCAGTAGTCGGTGTCATTTGACTGTAGCGCTACACAACACAAGAGTTAGCAAAGGAAATCGATGCTAAACGCAAACACATAGATGATCAATGGAGAAAAACTCTTTCTGTTGTCTGAGACGCTTCATGATTTTCCCAGCCAAAATGCCACCACAGACCGACAGGCTTCCCCCTCGCCTCTGTCTGGATACAGTCGCCTTTGTCAATCCCAAAGCTCGGCTGGAAGTAAAGCCAGAGAAACAATCTTTTGTTAATGTGTTGCCTTACGAATGAAGGAGACTGTCCGGCTGCATGTCGCGTCAGTCCAAAAGCTCTTCGCTCCAGCTCTACTTTGTAAATCTCGACGGCTTTCTATCATTTCCCCCACTGAAATACTTCCAGCTCGGCATTCCTAAACTCAACCTAATCTCAAACGTGGGATTTTCACTGCTGCACAAACCGTCCGTTTGCAGTACAGACCACACCGTCAATTGAATGGGCAGTGCAAAGTAAGCCTGTTAACTAAATATACATCTTTTTTAGGCCCCTTACACGCTGAATGGACTTTTTCTCCAGAAGAACGTATCCTGGCCACTCCAAATGTGTGAAAATCTGGGGGAATTCACTCAAAGGATGGATTAAAGCATCCACACGGTTCAACCTTTCATTGTAATTCCTTCCCTACCTAGTTCAATTTCTAGAATTCCCATATTTTCCACTGCGAAATCGGGAGAAAACGTTACAAATCGTTTGATGTTTGCTCTAGGGGCAGCGGGGCATAGTTCCCAGTTCAGGAATTCTGCTCAAAACAGCTTCGTTTCAAAGCAGCAGTAAAATACAATCCAAACTTGACGGATGTGCAACACGTTGTTTTCGTCTCGCGAACAAGGATTCCCTCTGTTCTTGGAATAAGTTGTTTGGAAACTTTGGTTTAGTCGGGTCCTTCCCTTCTTGTCTCCATGTTTTCCGAAATTCAGTAGTTTTTAGCCGGTCTTTTTCCAACAAAATCTGTACACCAAGGATTCCGTCTCTATACAAGCGCGTTGTCACATGTGTCAGTTTGGCGCTGTACGAAGATGATAAACGATTAAGAAGAAATCACAAAAATCCAGATAATTCCCGAGTTTCAGTCAAGTCACATCCCGGATTCCTCCGCCTGCGACGCTTCACCACTTTTTGCCGTATCCTTCCGCAAACAGCACTATCGCCTCCCAAGTGTTGTAGACTAGCCTACTAGTTGTCATTGGGAAAGTACTGACAACTAGTAGGCAGTAAATTAGGAGTATTATTCACTCACTTAAACCAGTAAATCAAACAAGGCGATTTACAGATTAGCCAGAATCTGCAATGAATAAACAAAATCATTATGTTAAAGACACATTCTGACGAAGAATGAATTATCATTTATAATCGAATGATAAGATCAAATTAGGAGAAACTAAGAATAAAAGCAATACAGAAAAATACAGATTCTGGAAGGAAAGACAGACTGATTGATACAATAAAGCTGTGATTTATTTGTCAATATTTATCAGAATGAGCATATTTAAATATTTTGCGCCACCTAGCGGTTTATTCGTACTGGTGGTTCCGCAGTGCCAAACCAACTATAAAAATGATCAGTGTTCAGAAGAGTTCAAAGCGATTGATGACTATCATATTTTCAATGTTAGTGAACAACATTTAGCAATAATCCCTAATTAAAATAATATGTAAACAGAGATAATTAAAGAGATATTTTTTTTCATTTGACAATAAAAATGTATGTATACTGTATATAGGCTAGGCCTACTGTAAAAATACTTGCAGATGTGAGATGATAAAGCAATCACAAGTTGTAGCCCCAGATAATATTTTTGACAAAATATTTCTTGTGTAGCACATTATTTTAATAATCAGACCAACAAATAAGCAGGTGGTTAAAAACTAAACTTTTCATCTGAATCCACAAATTTATCTTTAGTATTTTGTTTGTGCAAAAAAAGTCTTTATTCATATGGACTCATGCAGCATACTGTCTAGAAGATCTGCATGGTACCACATTCTTCTTTACTCCCAAAACAGCCCTCTTTCATCATTAAAAAAGTTTTCCACATTTTACATTTCAAAATTCCTCTGCTCACATACATATGGCTTCCTACCTCCAGTTTAGGCTCTGTTTTCTAACAAAAGCTTTTGCTTTAGGTAAGTCATAGCCTACACATTTGGAATAACTAATTTGGAGCAGCATTGTATTTAGTTTCCAAATATCACTGAAGCTCATCTCTGTCCATTAAAAAGGAACCCTGTAAAATAACAAAATGCTACATATAGCTATGTATATCAGCAAAAATGCCACTTTTCCCAGTCCTAATGCACAGAAAGGCCTATTTCACTTTAACAGCATGTCCATTAGCTTCTTCCAGCTTGTACTGTTCCTTCCATCGCCTGTATTTGGCGCGAGTTTTCTTGCAGGCAAAACGTGCAATGTCTATCATGAAGATCCAGGAGAGAGTGTAAATAGCCACCCCACCAACTTTCACTATAAGCGATGGCTTCGGAGAGGCTAATTCACAATAAAGCAGTCTACTCCCAACACCAATCCTCACAGAGGCAAACAGAAGAATGAAGAGCAGGTCCACCACATCTCCAGCTAAACTGTCATAGCGGCCCATGCGCTTGAGGAACCAGCGGGCCTGCAGGAGCGGGTTGGTGATCTCGCTGCCGAAGAGGACAGCGCAGGTCTCGATGCCCGACTCACCTAGCCCTAGTGCCAGCACCATCCCGAGGATGCTCATGGTGTGGTGGGCCAGCATGACCGGACCCTCAGTGCGGAAATACACACACCAAGCCATGTCAAAGAGGAAGTATCCTAAGCTGAGAACAAGAGCCAGGATCTGGAGAGATGTGTTTTCAGTGCCTGGAAACAAGAGGAAGAGATGTCAAAAATCACATCCAATTAATTCTTGAAGAATTATTTAAGAATTATTTAAATTTAATTTGCATATTCTCCTTACAAAGCCCTTACCCTAAACATTAATACTGGGAACCCTCTTGAAATTTCTAAACTTGTTTCAATAAATAAGACCCTACATGTCAGTTTTCTTGACTTGAATGACTTGAAGCAGCAATACTTGCGTCTGATGATATTACTTACTTGGGGATGTGTAAATAATAGTTATTATATACTGTTTTTTATATTTAGATTTACTTTTTATATTTATAATTTTGTAGGAATATTGATAAGAAATGTTTTAGGAAAATTCATAAGACATTTTGTAAGATACATTTTCTTATAAAAATTTGTAAATTAGAAAATTGAAACATTTTGTGAGTAAAATTCATAAGAAAATTTGTAATACATTTTTGTAAGAATTTCTATGACAATTTAGAAATTTTGTTAGAAAATGTATAATAAATGTATATTAATATTTATATTGCACTGTTCCCTGAAAGAGTTTTATGGAACATTTCTGCTCTTTAGGCTCCTGAAAAAAGTCATTTCTATTACTTCTAAAGCTGCTATGGCCCCAGAGCTCCCTGACATGAACTCAGGCCAAACATCTACTGCCATCTGCCACCAACACTTCAAAATGAATGAACTGAACCAAGCACTTCCAGAGGTTCCATGGTTCCAGAGTTATGGACCAAAACGTGAGTTGGCTTATTATAGTGCCACCTAGTGTTGGGCAAATGTGTCTGTGCGCCTGAGTGCATGTTTGAAGCCATTCTGCTGATTCTGGGATCTCTATGATTTATGGTCTCTGATGCCCATTTATTTTTATGGCCGAAAAACAAAGAAGAAGCAGAGAAAAATCTGTATAAGGACAACAGGTTTCCAGCACCTTCGGTGCTTGCACCCCTTATAATAATAATAAATAGCATTACCAGTGCACCATAATTGTACAAATAAACTGGTTTTGTGCATTTAATTAAATTTCTTTTGTCTGGACTTAAAGTGAGAATGCAGAAAAAAAGAAGAATTTTGATTTTGTTACACCTGGTTGCTTGCTGAGTTATTAGCTAAAAGGTAAAGTTCCCTATTATAGCACCACCTTGTGGCCGATTTTCACCAAATCCAGTACACATATTCGTTTTACAGTGGCATATCAATTTTTTCACGGAAGAGAAGAAATTGTTGAATAAAGTCGTTTTCTTTGCACACAAAAAGTATTCTCGTAGCTTCATAACATTACGATTGAAGCATTGACGTCACATGGACTATTTTATCAATGTCCTTACCACCTTTTGGGCCTTGAACATGGTAGTTGCGTTGCTGTCTATGAAGGGTCAGGAAGTGCTTGGATTTCATTTTTTTTTTTTAAATCTTAATTTGTGTTCCGAAGATGAAAGAAGGTCTTACGGGTTTGGAACGACATGAGGGTGAGTAATTAAAGGGGTCATATGATGCGATTTCAGTTTTGGAGTGTTACAAGCTCTTGGTGCATAAAGAAGATCTGTAAAGTTGCAAAGACTAAAGTCTCAAATCCAAAGAGATATTCTTTATAAAAGTTAAGAGCCGCACCTCCCTAAAACGGCTCGTTCTAACATGCCCCCACATGTCTACGTCACTATGTGGGAAGATTTGCATAATGCCGCCCAAATGTTCACGCAAAGAAAGAAGGCGTAACTTACATTCTCACTGTAGTATTGTTGCTGCCGCCATGTTGTGAATGTGCTGTGTGTTTCGTTGTGAAAGCGAAACTACTTTGTTTGGTCTTCCAAAAGAGGACGATATTTTTCATTTGTAGCGCCCCATATGGGCAGAATTTTACGAAACTTCTTGTGCATCCTCAGAATGTCCTGTTGTCTATGTGTGTCAAGTTTTGTTAAGTTTGGACATTACATACAGCAGATACAGGTCAGCTCGTAAAAATGGGCATTGCTTTGGCAATTAATTAACTTATATCTTTGCAATGCTTCAACACATCAACATTCTTTCGTTCAAAAATAACTTATTGTCATGAGTGTCTGGGGATGATATGAGCAAAGTTTCATGCAAATCAAACAAATGGCATATTTTGTAGGGCCTGAATCATGGATTCATATAAAAAAAGAAGATTTAAGGCCTTATTGCTCCAGAATTATGGAAATAATTGAAAAACTTAATTATTACAGTGCTGCTTAGGGTCAGTTTTTTATTTGTCTTGTACTTTTTGGCCATATAACACAGTAACTGCAACAAATTGCATATTTTTATTCAGTTTGGGCGTCGGAATAAAACTGAGGTGCTCTGTATTCCTTTATCATACAGTATATGAGTCATATATGCATTATCAAATATGTCAACATATTTATTGTTTGGGTTAAACCCCTTGAGATGGCACTACAGCCAGCATTGTAGTCTACTCTACCAGGATCAGGAAACAGTCCTCCATAAAATGTGCTGCACACATCTGAATATTTGGGTTGAAGTGTTCTGGAACAGTGTTGTAAATACAACTTAACCACTGATTTCTAGTCGTGTCCATTTTTGGAAGGCCAAACTAAGTAGTTTTGCTTTCACAACGAAACACAGCGTCACACACGATGGCCTTGAGTGAGCAGAGGCCGGGGGATAAAGTGAGGAACGGCCAGAGGGCTAGAGTGAGCAGAGGTGGCGGATTCGACGAAGGAGCGTCCGGAGGGCTTGCGGCAACCGCACGTGACGACCCCGGGCTAGACTCCGCTTCGTCCACGGTGAAAGCCGATCCGGCGATCGACAGCGCAAAGTTGTAGTATTTCCTCAGCAACCAGCACGGATCAGCTCTAGGCATGACGAAGCAGATATCGTCCTCTTTTGGAAGACCAAACAAAGTAGTTTCGCTTTCACAACGAAACACACAGCACGTTCACAACATGGCGGCAGCAACAATACTACAGCGAGAATGAAAGTTACGCCTTCTTTCTTTGCGTGAACATTTGGGCAGCGTTATTCAAATCTTCCCACATTGTGACATAGACATGTGGGGGCGTGTTAGAACGAGCTGTTTTAGATAGGTGTGGCTGACTCTTATTGTTTTTAATATTTCTTTGGATTTGAGACTTTAGTCTTTGCAACTTTACAGATCTTCTTTATGCACCAAGAGCTTCACTCCACAACACTCCAAAGAGAAAGGAAAAATTTAAATCGCATCATATGACCCCTTTATTTACTCACCCTCATGTCGTTCCAAACCCGTAAGACCTTCTTTCATCTTCGGAACACAAATTAATTCATAAAAAAATGAAATCCA